TACCATTTCTTGAGATCAGTCGCTATAGAGTAGACAAATCTTTAAATCTCCACTCAATATTCTCATCTGTTCAGGTAACATTTGCCTAATCGTGTTAGGCAATATTGCATATTGAACATGTGAACATGTATATTTCTACCATTTCGTATAATGAATCAAATTTGCTGATTAACATGACCCTCAAATTAACAATTTGTCTGCAAACAATTTTGTTTCTAAACTGACTACGCACCGTTTGTGCACTGATATGAAGTCGGTGGTTACCGACATGGGTCAGTGAAATTGCAACAACTGTCAGTGAACAGCGGTGATGCCAAAGTTTATGAAATGATGAAGACCAATGTGTTTATCATACGTGTATCACTTAGTAGTCATCCAGTGCTTTGGCATCTGTTATCCGAACCCCACACTTCTGGTTGCTACAGTTTTGCGGTACAATCTTGCAATAGACCAGGTCTTCCTACAATCTGTTGAAATTCCGATGGGAATTGATAGTGCTCCTTTCTTAGTCGACCTTTTTTATTAATGGAGGCAGGATTTATTCTGCTATTTCTACATGAGAAGAAGAGAAGTCTACCTATGACTTTTATTTCGACATTTTGATATTTTATTAACGAGGTTTAATTAATTGACAATAGTTATTCATTCATTGCCTACTCGATTCCAGTGACTTTTAAAAATGAGACACCATACAATCTGTTACATCTGCTGCGTACTTATTTTATTGGCGTTAGACGTCAATGGAAAATTTCCAAAACGAGGCAACCTATTGACAAATAAGTTGATGAACCAAGAATATCAATAGTCTCGTTTACAGTCAACATATCGCAAATTCTATGGTCGATACAACAATCTTATCAGCAAATATAATCTATTATAATGTCGAATGTCGCGTAAAGGTTTTTTTTAATACAAAATGTTAGGCCATTATTTTCATACTGATTTGTTTACGGATTTTTCAGCTTACCCGGTCATGACAAAGAGCACACGTCTGGTGCGACCGATCGACAGGGATGCTTACTCTTCCAATATACTTAATCCCACATCTCTTGTGTTAGGGGTCTGTGTTTGCTCTGCTCCAAATTTGTATTCTTTCAATGGCTTTTGAGCTTGATTACTGTCCGTTATCTTCATATTTCATGTAGTAATATTCCTCAATCACATGCACTGCATATGGTGTTTATATCTCCCACCTTATGATATGAGTAACTACGATCTTTTTTTAAACAGAGGTAAGCTACTGGCAATGAAATTGAAGATACAGGGTTCTCAATTACAATCTGGTTTAAAATTTAACATTTAACATTTAACATTTATATAGACCTTTTTTGAATTGCAACCTATCTTTGCATTATATTTTGACTGAAATGTTTTTCACCAATCAATAGGCATTGCTTTTACACAACTTTCACTGCGGATGAGTCCGTTTACCTGATCAATACAGAGGACTTAAAGTGGGTGTGATCAAAAGTGGATTTTTTTCTCATAAGCACCTAATCCTACCTCTGTGATCCGTGTTCCCCCTGTTGACGATTCATTCCTATTCTTTACTTAAAATTGATCACTGTTCCTAATCTTTACCTTCCTCTCTTAAAGAAGTTTCGATCTTCTTGAGCATCTGAGCATATTTTATGTTGACTCTATTTATAAAATGCTGCATCATATTTTATTTCGTACAATAAATATATAATTTTTTATATGAGAATTGAACTACATTCAATTAAAAACCAGGATTAAATTCCATACAAAAACATTGCGTGTTATTTTTTTGCACTGATATCTTTTGTGCTGGTCCCGAATTATAATTATTACACTAAATTATGAACTATAATTAATTTTTCTATCATATTACGACAAACATATGAAATACATTGTGAATGTCAAGAAAATTATAGTTTCAATTTTGGCTTACAATAAACACTATTTTCTATGTTCCAATTTATTTAGATTGTATTCAAGATATAATAAAGCTGTATTTGGTCCTCTGATGTATTTGGAGATAACAATATTGAAGAAAAAACTTCGAAAAAGTTATTGACTAAATATGGAGATAACGAACATTATTCGATGAAATATGAAGATAACGAACGGTCTCGAAAGTCCAACGAAACGAATTTGGAGCAGTGAAAACACGGACCTCCCGCCGTGTGCTCCTTGTCATGATCGGGAAACAAACACCAGAAAAATCCGTAGACAGTTCAGTGTATAAATAATGGCCTAACCTTTTTGTATTAAAAATGTCAGTCAGCATTTGACTTAATAATCAATAATGGGCTGTATGTGCTGACAAGGTCATTGTATCGGCCGAAAAACTTGCGAAAAAGATGACTTTAAACGAGACTGTTGATATCCTTGTTTCGATTTCAAAAGTCCATTCAAATAGTACAAATGAGAAACAGAGCAAGCACGGACCTCAAAACATCAGAGGTGGAATCGGGTGCTATGGAGGAGTGAGCATTCCCAGCCGACCAGTCACACCCGCCGTGTGGTCCTTGTCATAATAGGGGAAAACGGAAAAATGCGTAGACAATTCATTGTGTAAATAATAGCCTTACAATTAGAATGAAATCGTCAGTCAGCATTTGACTTAATGATTGATTGCATTTGCTGACAATGTCATTGAATCGATGAAATATATGGAGATAACGAACAATATTCCATTAAACAATACAAAATAGGAGCAGAGCAAACACGGACATCCAAAACATCAGAGGTGGGATCAGGTGCCATGCCCCTGCCGACCGGTCACACCCGCCGTGTGCTCCTTGTCATGATCGGGAAATAACGGAAAAAATCTGTCCACAACTCAGTGTGTAAATAATGGCCTAACAATTAGTATGAAAAACGTCAGTCAGCATTTGATTAAATGAAAAATTGTATTTGCTGACAAGGTCATTGTATCTACCATAGAACTTACGAAATGATGACGAGACTGCTGATATTCTTGTTTCATCAACTTGTTTGTCAATAATTTATCTCATTTTAATTTAGAACTCGACCATAGAACTTGCGAAATAATGACTTTAAACGAGACTGTTGATATTCTTTTCTCTTAAACTTGTTTGCAATAGCTTGCCTCGTCTCTGAAATTGTTCGTAAGAAGTTAATGCTCTTGCGTATAGAATCAACTGAGAAACATAAACCCTATATGCAGGTGATAAGGGTATATTGCTACATAAGGAAGGGAAGGTGACGATTGAAAAGTTGAAGTCATCACGTTTATCATGAAGTTTGCTTGTACTTGAGTGTACAATAAAAATGTATGGAGATAACGAACAGTATTCAGGCTCAAAAGTCCATTAAATAATAAAAAATTTGGAGCAGAGCAAACACAGTTCAGTGTGTAAATAATGGCCTAACAATTAGTATGAAAAACGTCAGTCAGCATTTGAAATAATGATAAATTGTGTTTGCTGACAAGGTCATTGTATCTACCATAGAACTTACGAAATGACGATTTTAAACGAGACTGCTGATATTCTTGTTTCATCAACTTGTTTGTCAATACGTTTTAGAAATTGTACATACGTAGAGCATGCTCTTGCGTATCGAATCAACTGAGAGATATAAACCCCATATGCAGGTGATGAAGGTATATTGCTGCATAAGAAAGGGAAGTTGACGACTGAAAAGTTAAAGTCATCACGTTTATCATAAAGCTTGGCTGTTAGATTACCATTAACGTCTTTTTCAGAATGATTTTATTAAAATAGTGTTGCAAATGACCAAATACAAGGTATGTAAACAAGTTCCATTTTAATTGAAAAGGAGCTGTCAATGATGTCAAAAAGTCTGGAATTTTATTTAAATCGTGGGGAATGGTTGTATAAAATGTTGAAAAATCGTACGTTTTGATATAATTGATTTTGGTAAAATTATGTGATTTCATATTTTCCCAAGCATCCACATCTGATTTACGCCCATTCTCGAATATATTGTTGTACGTTACTCCTGAAGTTTCTCCTTCACTGCTGTTAGCAGGAGTAAAAAAAGAGGCTTGGTAGAACATTTTCTGGAACCCGCTATGTATCTTTGTTTGTAAGGATTTAATGAAGTTTAGAAATCCAGCATAGCTATGGTAATTCAAATTAATATTGATTGTTGGGAATATTAAAAATATTTAAAACTGACTAATGATTTTTAAGAATTATCTCCTTAGAAGGAAGTCATGGGTGATGTGTAAATACGCAATTACAGTGCGAAAAGATCATATTAAATACACCTTAGACAAAAAAAAAAAAAAAAAAAAAAATAAGTGTATTCACCCCATTTGTTTTATTTTAAATTAAGCTATGTGTGTATACTAAAAATATACTTTACAAGAAATTCTTAGGACTTTTGATTACAGAATCCAATCTCCTTAAGAACTCCTGCAGACACCATACTGACTGCCCTCTCACGCTTCTCTATGGTCAAACGCCATACAATGTCAGTTTTGTATGAGTTTTTTTTCATGAATACAAACAACAAGAATAATACAATAATAAAGGAGATAATACAGTTTATTCCTAAAATAATTTAAGCACAAATACATTTCAACGAAATGGTTATGTTTAAAAAATCTTTTATCATTTGGTTATTTTAATAATTATCTATGTTTTATCAGTTTGGGTATTTCAATAATTATCTTTCTATTAAATATACATCATATATAGCATAATCAAGTTTTAAAAAAGTATCTAGTGTAGAGAATTGAACTTCTATCAGGATGACCGTAACTGATGGTATTATCTGCCATTTCTACGAAGCCATAGAAAAAATTCTTTCCAAGAAAAATATCAGAACCCTTTGCCTTATATAAATCAGCACCAGGTGTTATGTGTGAAAAAAACTTAGAGATGTACTGAGCTTAAACATCTTCATTTCAGCACTGCAATCCATATGACGGGTAACTCTGTTTAAGTTCACCTGCTTTTTTTCTCTATTTATTTACAACTGAAGTTATTTATAACGTGGCTGAAACTCTTTTCCAAATCAGATTTGCATCACTGGAATCTGTGTCACATTCAGATAATATTTATAATGTCGTTTACACATTTTTGGAAGCCTGTTAAAGTATCATTTTACAAACTTCGTGTCAGTGATGTCATTCATGGCGTACTGGAAATTTGTTTGGTTTCAAACCGCATGAGACTGTGCATTTGGTGAACAACACAGATCTGTTTATTATTCAGTTTTTTATCCACCTTGTAGAAGGAAATACGCATTTTATCGAAGGACATGAAGAAGAGGATTCATATTTGTAATGCTGTATAAGGTCTGTATATTTTAATTTTTTGCATGTCTGGAATTAAAAATAAGTCTTTAATCGGGGACAATGCAGCTAAGTGTTTAAAGTTTTGTAATACACAAGGGAAGTCAGACTTTTGATATTTGAAGACCAATCACAATATCGTCTGCTCAGCTTTTAATCAATACAGTGGTGGTCTTTAATATTTTTTTCGGCGCTCTCAAATACCGGGTGGACGTTCTTCATGAGTTGTGTATTGTTTTTGTAAGATAAGCGGACAATTTTTGCAATATAAAGTCTTTTGAACCAGTCGTATTTTTGTTGTTATAACGAATCATAGAGATTATAGCATTTACAACTCATATTAATTATAATCTAATAAATTATATTTGATGGAAATTTAATGAAAAAAAATATATATTCCTTTTGACAAATATTTGAATATGCCATGAGCATCTGCAAAGTTGGTCGATATTTTTATTCAATTTTCCTAATCTCGCTTATAGTGCGATTAATATTTTTATAGAATTACACTTCAATCAATATTGACTGGTAAATTATCTTTGTTATCTAAGTTTACTTTAAATTTTTAAGCAGTACTATTCATAACACAATATATATGAGCTGACTGATAACAAAAAACTGAAAGAAATGTTGTTAAACTTCATAACCTTGCACATTTTAACGGGGAAGCATTTATATTGTGCATTATACCGCACAGTGTCTACGTAGGGTTACATAAGAATCCATTGTAAATATTTGGCTATCTGGTATAAATTTGATGTAAACTACCGGTAGCAATATAATGTAAGAATTATTTGCATAATGTTCAAGTGTTGAATATATCCACCATGCATGCATTGTCTAAACCTATGGACTATAAAAAAATTACAACAGACTTAGAATTCAGCTCAAATACACCCCAGTTGTTATCAGTAACCAATAACTAGTTCACGTTTTAAAATGATTTGAAAGGCATTAGCTGCTTATAAGTATGTGATGGTCTGTATCGCATTATCCAAGGTCGCGGAAAGTCAAAGCAATGGAGACTGAAATGCTTTTTTTTCATTCAATGTTTATTAATGCTAACTACAGCGAAGAAAGGATAAAATGCTAAAACTAAAAACTAAAGACAAGACACACATATATGAACCGCAAAAGGCAGTATTATATTTCATAAAAGTTACCTTTACAAAGTTTGATTTAAGAAACAATCTTTTTTCAAAGCATATTCGATATGCTGCATATGATGTATGTATTTACGTCGAACAAGTGAAAATCGAGAACGCTTTCTCACAAACTGCAATGGACGTTTTCAAAGATATGTAACTAAAGTATATGTGTAACAGATGATAGTAAAAATCGAACATATGAGTGTTCTGAATGTTTGATAAATATCGACTAAAACTTGAATTTTCACATCTTAAGTCAACGCCTTCTTTTTACGTTTATATAGGTCATGGTTGCTGCAGGGAACACCCGAGAAATTTCGGAAAGTGTTTCTTGAGAAGACATGATGAAAGAAGCAAAGGTCCCATCTCTTTTTTTCATTGTGGCATTTTTAATACTAGTCGAGGGAATATTATTCAACGAAAAGAAACTTGGAGGTTTGAATATGTATTTATTATATTTTTCATAATTTTTTCAACATAGTACAAGAAGTTTTGATATTTTTCCCCCATTATGATTAATGTGTTTTCTATAGGGCATATCTTTGAATATATAAATGGTCATGTTATATAATATGAAAGAACTCAGTATGAAGACAATTTTAGAGTTTTAACTATACCTTTCTGAGTCAATGAATCGATAGATTACTCCTAACGTTTGGCAATGTTATAATAATTTCAAAGTCATAAGTTTTGTCAACTAATCAGCTCATTTTAGCAATGTTCATTGTAATCACATTGTACTTACCTAAGAGTTTTTTTTTTTTTTTGTTTTTTGTTTTTTTTTTTAATAAATTTATTGCTACTTTAGTGTATGTTAAAAGGTGTTTCCCGTACAGAAATAAAATCCGTTTTAAAGTTTTGCTTGATGTAAGAGTATTTTATGAAAGAAGAATAAAAACCTTATTTTGACTACAATTTAATGTGAGGAACATTCTTGAGAATAAATGTTCATGTGTTCTTAATAACGTAGAACGAATGTAATATAGAACATGTAGAAGATAATCACAATAAATCATATACATTTAAATATAGAAAATACACCAAATTTAACCTTAGCATTATTTTCTCTGATCTATGATCATCTGTAGAAATAACTCCTATAAATCCACTGGCATTAGTGAACGAGATTTTGGAGTTAAACTGTACAGTGTTTGAGGATTCTGGATTGAACAATTCTATGATATTCTGGGAAGACTACAATGAAACAAGAGTGACAGAAGAGACAGTGATTCCTTTTGGGGAGCGTACTTTGTTATTTAAGAAAAACATCACTGGTGTCGAAGAAGAAGGGATGTATGCCTGCAAAAGTATTGATGGTCGTGATATTTCTTATTCATCATTGGTTATTGAATGTAGGTTTGATCTTAAAAAATCTAATTTCTTTATCTCTCGAATATTGAAGAGACAAAGAGGAATATATTTGATTGTATTATGTTTAAGAGAGCTTTATACCAGAATTGGAAAGAAAACCGAGTGTACATTCAAAATATTGTATGTTGAATAGCCTGCTAAAATCACAACAGTATTAGTAGTTCACTCTACATGTACTGTTAAAAAGATACAATATAATTAATTGACAAAAAAGACAGTAAAACAATACATTTCATTTTCTAAAAGATGAAGCGGTGCGTGATGTAACAAACTTCAACTGTATTCTATTTAAAAGTCGAGATGAGTTTATATGTACCTGGAAACTTGGCCTGTATCATCATCCTGCCTACCTCAAAATTAACGCAAGTGTGTGAGTTGATTAGATGCAGTGGTGCATTCCAGCTTTCTTTTATAATACACAAAAAATAGTTTGCTTGATATTTTATAGCATTTACTAAAATTGACTATAATTTGCAAACTTCGTAATTATAACATATTTTTTTATTGTTTACCCGTTTCTGAATGATATTAAAGTAGAAACAATTTTAAATTTGCCTTAAAATGGTAATTTGTTAGGTCCATGGACAACAAGAGACTGATACCGTGCCCTCAAAATGACAAAGAAAAATGCACATGGACCTCAGACGACGGTGCAATAAACTCTGTCTTAAAGATTGTTATTCTCCAAATAACAAACCGAAGATATGGCGTCAGTAAAACAATTCGCAGAGAATATACTACGCGGGATATAAGTAAGTATTGCCATACACTACGACAAAAATCCATCTTAAAAAATTTGATAAACAAGACTGTTATCATTTGTTTTCTCTCTTGTTGCACTGCAGATTGATAATATTACCTTATTATGGTTTAATCTTTCCAAAATGTGTTGCAGCAAAATATGACCCCCCAAAATCAATACAAGTTATGAACCAAAACTCCACAGATTGCACATGTGCTAATGTTCAGTGGGAAGGCATATCTGGCGGTGTAGATACCTCCTCTCGAGTTACTATGTATTCCAAATGGGAGACTAGTGATATTGTGAGTGAAAAAGAGTATTCTGTAAATGTATTATATTTAGCATGTACGATATGAAATATATGGAGATAACGAACAGTATTCAAAAGTCCATTATACAATACAAAATAGGAGCAGAGCAAACACGGACCTCCAAACATCAGAGGTGGGATCAGGTGCCATGGAGGAGTGAGCATCCTCTGCCGACCGGTCACACCCGCCGTGCGCTCCTTGTCATGATCGGGAAATAACGGAGAAATCCGTCGACAATTCAGAGTGTAAATAATGGCCTAACAATTAGTATGAAAAACGTCAGTCAGCATTTGACTCAATGATAAATTGTATTTGCTGACATGGTCATTGTATCGACCATAGAACTTACGAAATGATGACTTTAAACGAGACAGCTGATATTCTTGTTTCATCAACTTATTTGTCAATAATTTACCTCGTTTTAGAAATTGTACATACGTAGAGCACGCTCTTGCGTATCGAATCAACTGAGAGATATATACCCCGTATGCAGGTGATGAAGGTATATTGCTGCATAAGTAAGGGAAGTTGACGATTGAAAAGTTAAAGTCATCACGTTCATCATAAAGCTTGGTTGTTAGATTACCATTAACGTCTTTTTCAAGTAAAATATCCAAATATGAAACAGATGTGTCAGACTCTGTGGTATCTTTTATCTCAGGCTCACCGGGATATTTCGTATCGACATAAGAATGGAAATAGCCATTGTTAATTGACAATACGTCGTCGATATATCTAAATGTCGAGTTGAACGCCACAGCAAGTGTTTTCTTCTTTTCACGTACAAGATTTTGGACAAATTCTGCTTCATATGAAAACAAAAAAAGATATCTGGCGGAAATTGAGTTTTGAACAAGTTAGTGTAGATTTGATTTAGCGTATTTTTTAATGTTCTTATTTATGTATATATTTGCAAGACATTTAGTGTTGTACTTGAATTACAATATACAATGTACAAAGTTTTTATAGAGTCTTTTATTTTATATATTTTTTCTTAAAAATACTTATCTAAGCAAAAAAAAAGGTTATTGACCAAGCCTGTAAAAAGGTCTATTTCTTCCAATGATTTTTAGGTCAATTATTGAAGTGTATGAATACTTTATATTATATTCATTTTATTGAACTACTAAATTTTTAAAACCACCCCTCCCCAGAAAAAAGAGTGAAAGATTGACCATTATGTTTGATTAAATCGGAATGTTGAATCCGAAAGAATTCTAAAAGATAAAACAATATCTTTCATAACCTTCCAGTCTGTGGAGACGGACGGGAACACTAGTCTTACTGTATGTGACTTGGTACCAGCTTCTACGTATGTAGTTCAGGTTCAAGTGAAGCCGAAAGGAGGGCAATACTACAGCGACATGAACAAAACTTCACTTATCACGTGTTCAACAGGTAAAGTTAACTACACCCTCTCATTGGTAATTTATACGTTAACTTGAAATGTACTCTATTTTGTATGTTGCGTATTTTATTAAACAGCTCCGTCAATGGCGCCATCTGTAAACAGAAGTGGGTATTCATCCGCTAAGTGTTACGATTTGACAACTCATCGAAAAGTCACAGTTTATTGGAAGGTCAAGTGTTTTGTGCTTTTTGAGCCTAACAATGTAATCCTTAAAGAAGAGGGTACGGTTTTGGCTTTATCGAGCCCTAAAAATTTAATGTTTTTCAAAAAGGGGGTATTTTCCTTGAGAAAATAGTATTCAAAGCCATCGCCCAATTCATTATTCAGATATGTTGTGTAAAATTCTTTGAAAAATCACATTTCTCAAAATCTTTGTGGGTGATGCATGTGGTCTATATTATCTGAAAAAAAATTCAAAGAAAAGTGATGTCGTCTGCAACTTTTAAAGAAAATACGGGAAAATGCACAAGTTACGACGTCACAATTAGCATTAGGAAATCAATTGAGAAAAATGGTTTGTCTGATCTTAGTGCATGGCGTTTCAACTTTTCAGAAAGCATGAAATTTAATTTCTTTCATCACTTTCATATTTTAGAAAATTACAGGGCCAGATACGAAACTGTACCTTGTTCCTAATGCTATTGGAGCAAACCTATATACGGCTCGTAATTCTTAATATAGTGCTATTTGAGCCTACATATTTATCATAATTTAGTCAAAATTAATATCAAGATGTACACTCTTGAATTTTAAATGAAAAAAAAAAACCTTGGAGTTTCATACTTTCGTTTTGATAGAAAATAAAATATGCAATGATTGCTGTTCAAAATGAATGCTTTGTTATATCAAGTTTTCTTTTTTGAATGTTTCAATCAGAAAATTCCAAAACGATTTCAAAATGGTCATTTCATAAACTATACCATTTCATATGGAGATAATGTTCATGTGATCCCAGACAATTCATATGGAGAAATACAGATTCCATGTAAAAGCAACAGTATTGTAACCGTTAAGGGATGTAATCAAGAAGGTTGTTCACCAGAGTCAAATATTACGATACCACAGTTTGGAGGTAACTAGAAAAAATACTATTCATGCAGGCTTGTAAATATTCCTTGTGTGTTTTATGTGATAATCATTTTTATGTCACAATAAAAACATTGATAGGCAATCTCTTGTCCATAGATCAGACACAAAAGAAATTAACTCAAAGCTGCCAACAGGATAAGCATATACTTTTTAAAGATCATATAAAGTGATTGAAATAAGTTATGATAAATATCCATTGATTCTTTTACAGAGGTTATTTTGCCTACGAGCGTGATCGTGGAACATGTTGATGCATCCAAAGTAGAGCTTTCTTGGTTCCATACAGAGAGACAGACAGCAGTTGATATAATATGGTGCAAGGGACGATCTGGAACACTACAATGTCTGGTAAACAATGCAAAAATACCAACATGTGGGTAAATGGTACAGGTTAACTTTAAATTTGATGCTTCATAATTTGATAATTTTGAACATTAATAAATAGGTATTTTTCATAGTAATTCGAATTGTATCTTACATATAGGATGAAATAGATCTATTGAGAATAAATGGAAGCGGAACACAAACTTCTCTGTCAGCTAGTGATGTCAATAGCAAAATTGACGATGTCTATTTTGGAGTGGCTTTAATAAATGACAAACAGTTAAGTGGTGGTATAAAATGGCAGGAAACATGTAGATACCAAAGGAATAAAGGTACTATTTTATCTATTCCTTACGATGAATTGCTAAATTCTGAGTAAAAATATGAACATTTATTTTTATTTCAAGCTAGACATTCTTTTTTTTACAACAAATGAAAGGTGAATACCATATTTTCTATATATATATATATATATATATATATATATATATATATTCTATCAAAAATAGAAAACATCAGCACACAATTTAATAGCCAAATGCATAAAAACTTCAGAAGTGCTATGACATAATCTTATTTTATATCCTTTTATATCCTTCAGTGCACAATTAAGTGTATGCCTTTTATATGACTTTAAAACGGGGAATCCACATCTCGTATAGCAAACAACAATTTAAGTATTGCAATTCCCATTTTCACAGAACCGATGAAGATAATGGGTGTCAAGGTTCTCCCAGATGCTCCAGAAAACAGCTTGATTATATCCTGGTCCCCTGTAATCTGTGATACATCAAATATAAACAACGTTTACGTTCACTCGTATGAAATAATTTTCTGTCGACTGGATGCGGAGAATCAATGCATTGGTAAACAAAAAAGATAAACCATGATTACAAAAGAAAAGTGGTTAAACAAAGAGCTCAATTCATTCCGTAAAATAAATCAGTCATACTCGTGTTTATATCGATCAAAAGTTGTATCTTTTCTTTCCGTAGAATTAAAAACTGATGCACTCTATTTCAGATGTTCTCATTATTTCAGAAATACATTCTTACATCACATATTATAAGCTATGATATTTATTTTTAATAAAATTCTCAGGTGACGAAAGTTCTGTAGAACTTCCAGCAACTGACAACACACAATACACTCTTCGAAATCTCCACTCCAATGTTAACTATGGTGTATGGGTAAGGGCCAGGTCGTTGAGAAAGAATGGACCCAGGAGTGACATGGTGACAGGAATCCCTATTAATAATGGTATAAAATAAAACTGATAGTTTTAAGTCATGCACAACTTGTTTCCTTAATTGATGATTTGTTCAATGATTTCCTACAGTGAAATCTGTTATTTGGATGGGAATTTATAAACTTATAAATTCATTTATTACTTTGTCTAGATTTACCTACCAGTGCTGTAGCAGGCTTAATTGTCGCAGGAATTTTTGTTTTTGTTTTGGTTATGGCTGGAGGAGTTTGCATTTTAAGGTATGTTTTACGATTCAGTCGTTTTAGATTAATAATGAAGAAATGGGGATGCCTGCTCTAAAAGTAGAGAGCACAATTGTTTGATTTATAACTGATTTAATAAAAAAGGTCAAGAAGGTAACAAACAGTGATCGATCTCAAAATATATCTACAAACAATAAAAATCTGTACATGTAAACAGGATATTAACCACAGACCTAACAAGCACATTATAACAACCATTTGATTTACGAAATTCTGTAGTAATCGAGGTTGTTGAAATCCATGTAACATCAACTTATCTGTCAGTAGCCTCCTCGGTTTAAAACTTGATCGTACTCAGAACATGTTCGTGTGTATTGAATACGTTGAGAGATATAAACCTCATATGCAGATGACAGCGGAGTATTACTGCATACATAAGGAAAAGTGACGATGGAAAAGCTGAAGACATCTCGTTTGTCTTACAATTTTGTTGTTAGTTGGAACTTATCGACTATGCTCAGTAAAACAACAAATATGAAACAGATGTGGCAGACTCGTGGTGTTTTTTATTTTGAGTTCACTAGGATATATGGAGTCGACATGTGAATGGAATTTACTATTGTCAATTGATTAAACGTCATTAATATATCTGAATATCGAGTTGAGGGCCACAACAATTGTTTTCTTCTCATGTAGAAGTTTTGAATACATTTTGCTTCATAGGAATAGAGGAACAGATTGGCCAATAAAGCAACATAATTAGTTCCCATCGGAATTCCAACAGTTTGTTGGAAGACCTGATCTCCAAAGACTACATAAATGTCAATGAGGAAGTCAAGCCCCCTTTTGATATCAACTTAATAGTACCTGGGTTTATAATCAGAATAATTTTTAACAAAGTTTTGTTGATGACCAATCAAAGTAAAATCTCCGAATTTCATTTTTATTTAAAGACTTTAACTTGAAATATGATGGAATTAAAGAGTGAATATTTTTATGATTAAGGATGTTACTTATATTCACAGCATCTATTTCTATGTTGGCAAATTTTAGTTCAGGAACAGAGGGGTTGAATCAGAATTGTTATCTTCCCCTACACATGGTGGCTTAAAAAACCTCTGCTGGGCAACATCCATAATTACAAACACTTGCTTGTATTCTGCAGTTGAAGAATCAATTTAAATTAAGAACTAACATTAGCTTCTTCAAATATCCCATTCAAAAATTCCGAGGGATCTGGGTAAATTCTAGTGCGAAAGTGATAAAGACCTTTTGTTTATTGACAATAAAGACACATTATATAATTTTGGTCTACAGTGTGATCAATGTTCATGACTACACCTACATGTAGGTCTAGAGTCCGCTTACATTCGTATTGGCACTTTGTCAGCTTGAAAGACTCTCTACATTATTTATGTGGTCGTTGCAACCATACGAAAATGTCGTGCTTAGTTTCCTGATCCAATATTTTTCTCGTTGTCTACGGAATTGAGTACTTAAAAGTGGGATTATTAGTTGAATGATATATCTTCCCCCAAATTGCTAATCCTTATTGAAAGAATAGATCGATTGATTGAATTGAGAGTGAAAGGTTTATAAAGATGTTGATGGTCCCCATTATTTATTTTAAACCCATGCCCCGACATTCTATTATTGAGTTCGTAAAGTCTTTGTTTCCTCAATACATATCAGTTTGCATAAAGTACATTCAATTCCATAGAGAACGTTTGAAGTTTTACAAGTCCAATTCTCATAAGTTTTATTATTATAGTTTGTCCAGTAAATTTGCTATTAAACGAGGTATTTGATATCAAAATATCACAGCTTTTGTAATTTTTAGTAGAATATTCAGAAATAGAACACATGTGATTCGAAAAGGAATTATTAGAAATATCTCTGATTAAATCTCACGATTTTTAGTGTTATTAAAGTTTTGGTTTGTTTATATCAAAACTGGTTATCTGCTGACTGTATATACGATACATTGTTAATGTCCCGAAGGTGAACCCATTGGGCACCAACCACAATGTCATAGACTGTGCTTCTTGTAGACTCTGCAGATTGGAGCCTTTTTATACTGGGTGCGGGTCAGTCAGTGCGGAATCGTTTATCTTTTATATATCCACGCCCTATTACCGGCAACTGGGACTGCCGATGCAACTGGGACGACAGACGGCAAAGTTGTTTTTCGCTATGACAGAGACCTCATGTTTATCATATTTTTGACTATTTATAACATTCATTTACTAAAGTATGGTGGTTTTCCGTCTTGACCATACCATAAACTATTTTCCTATAGAATATAAAAATATGATTTCTTATTAAAACAAAATAAGAACAGAATAAAGATAAATTTCACTCGTCGTTCAAGAAAATTTGGTCAAACTGAGCTTATATAATTAGAATTGCTACTCCACGGTCACATTTCTTGTTGTATATAATAAATTTAAGCTCTTAACGACATACCTGCAAAATGTGGATAGTCTGTGTTGTTTAATAAGTGTGCTGCGAGCGCTTGATTTTGGTGGATCAAGGTCTTTTGGCTGTCGTGAACAGCAGATGGATGTTAACATGGCAAACACTGACGACAGATGATGGCAATCGGTAACAACTTTATTTTAATTTAGTTTTTGATGTTCTCATAACCAAAATGTTGAGTTCTACTTAGTAACCATATATATTTGGAATTACTTAAAGGATAATTATAGTTTGGAACATTTAAAGATTTAACAAGAGGCCCATGGGTCACATCGCTTACCTTAGTTACTATGGTCCTGCTGTCCTCCGGCAGATTTTCCCCCTTATATTCCCATGTAAAACTTTGATAATATATTGTAGACCTACCCTACCCCCAGAGGTTATGAACTGAACAAATTTTAACTACACTACATAAGGATGCTTCCGCATATACTAGTAAATGTGACTAATCGTGGATTTGTTGTTCGTGAGTAGAAGATTTTAAAAGAAATTTTTCTATAATCATATTCCTATGTAAAATTCTAATCGATTGTGGCCCCGCCTTAGCGTCGGGGGTCGTGGTTTGAAAAAAAATGAATCTACACTATGCAATAAAGTTTTAACATAACTTTTCCTCTTTCTCGCCCAGTCGTTCTTGAGAAGAAGATTTTTAAAACATTCGCCATTGACTGCAATCCAAGGAGAATGGGTTGGATGCCATGCTACTATCGACATCAGATTAACGTCTTGCGATTCTGGTGACACTAGAAAACGACCGTCTGACGAAGAAGATTTTCCTTTGGGATCGGGATCAAAATATCAGAACAAATTGGACCTCAAAAATTAAACTATTCTTTGATTCTCTGAATATGCCGTATACATACATAAATTTATCAACATGCAACATAGAACTTGCCGAAAGACTCCTCTGTCAGAAAATTAAAACACAATGGATTGAAGATTTACAAAAAATTTCCAAACTTAGAACTTACCGTCGTTTTAAAAATCAATATGAACTGGAGCAGTACGTCAGTATGGATTTACCGAAACCTGTCCGATCATTTATGACAATGTTTCGTTGCGGTGTATTACCACTTCGAATTGAAACTGGACGCTATAAATCTGAGCCACCCCAAGACAGAATTTGCCAGTTTTGCGAAAATAACGAAATTGAAAATGAAAGAGAAATTTTTACTACACTGTAAATTATATGAAATTAAATGGATAGACTTCTTTCGTAAAATAGGTTTTAAAAGTTTGTCAAATTTGTCTTTAGACGATACATTCTTTTCAGATATTTTATGTAAATTTCCCAGACATTCTGCAAACTTTATATTCGATGCTTTTAAAACTCGTCAGAATTTCACAAAAAGAACATTCTAATATAATTTATCTTCATTTATGTGCCTATATATATGTACATTGTTAAAATATTAACAGTTGCATATAGGTCCTTTGGGCCGGGTGTAAAAAAACTAAGTATATTGTTGTAAAATACACTGTATTACTGTATAATACACATGTCACTATAATAAATAATTTACTTACTTTACTTACTTTAAAGGATGACTGCACTTAAGGACATGCGAAAATTGCGACAAAATAAACTTTAAAAACGAGCATTTTTCTTTTAATTGCACGAATGGTCAACATCTAATCTACAACTTTATGTAATTACATTAAATAAAAGTACGTATTTACGAAGTGCGAAGCTGTTTTCTAAGGCGGGGATCATCACAATTCCTTGAATCTCCGTACCATAATGAGGACGCCCACTTTTTCACTGACTTTATACATAGTCAGCGCATGTTTGTCTATTGTTCTCCGTTTAACAGTAGTTGTATATTTGCATTAACAATGTTGTGTCAAAAGGAGATAAATAGACAAGGATGCGCTCATGGTTTAAACGAGAAAAAACTGCCACTTCTTACATTCGCTCTCTCTATTGTAACCAAGGGCTGTGGCATGTTGAATATTATAATTCACCACGTGATTTCTTACCTCGGGTAACTCTGTGAATACTAAATTCCGTCACGTGACCTGTAAAGTAGCATGTTTTGTGCTAACTAGGACAAAGTGCTCGAACAAGTTAAATTGTTAGGCATTGATTTAAAAGATTCTTTACTTACATGGACGTCGCTCATATTGTTAATTTCGTTTTTGAAACCTCTGTAAATAGTGTACTTGTGCCATACAGAATAAAGAGGGAATGGGAAACAGTGATCTCATATTTTTTAGTACATGTCATTGTTATTTATCTAGTCTAGTTTTAGACCTATTCTTACAATGTTAGCTTCACCTCTCATGCATACTTAATGTTTAATCAAGGGCAGGTAAGTGTAAATTCTCTATATTTGGAAAGAGTAAGGACAGAAAACATAGAATCATTTTATTGTATCACAGTCTAAAATCATTTTAATATTCAAATTCGGTTCGAAATTGACAGGATTCTTTTATAAATATATAAAAATGAAATAAGATTATGATATAAAAGCAACACTTGCGACCGAAAAAGACCAAAAACCCGGCGTTAAGTGCAGTCATCCTTTTCACTAATTCTTAATTATCTCCCCTTGAAAGGGGGTATGGTCCTTCATTTGAAGGAGTTTGGCTGAAAATGACCCACTGTTTCTTGAACAGGAAGTCGAAAATGTAAAAAAAAAAAAAAAAAAAAAAAAAAAAAAAAAACACAGTTATACACAACACAGACGGATGCCTGACACCCTTTGATCAGAAACGCTCACTTAAGCTATGCTCAGATGAGCTAAATAAACTATTATTCTGACTTTGGTAAATGTCTTTAAATAACTTTTCAACCAATATTTTTTTTGTGAATAATACTTAGGACATTTTTATTTTTTCCATGCATATTGCAATAATGTTTTTAAAATCACCAAGCTCAACATTTTTTTTCTTCATCTGCATAGTCTACAATAGCTGGGTTATGCTTTGCATGATGTATCGATAGCTCTCATTTCAACTATCGCCTTTAGTTTATTTTGCAGACATTATATGCTTTTTAGGATAATTAATGAACTCCTTTACAAAAGTTTTTGTAAAAAGAAAGTTTTTGTCAAAAGAAATTATAAAACCGGGCTGGAGAGGGTCACCAGGAATCAAACTTACAGCATTCATTTCTTAATTGTATGTTTTAGTATTTCAGAAATGCTAAAGCCAGCAAATTCAAAAACCCAAGTTTATGATGACATAAGCCTTGTGCATAACAATTGGAATAACTTTATTATATTTGAACACTTCACTATGGTCCATTATATTTTACAGTCCCAAATATCCGTTTTTCGTTCCTTGTCGCTGGAAAACAAAATTTACGACTCTTAAATCACTAATAAACCGTCTTAAAACAGGGTTCATGTTGGTAATACCGCTAAATGAAAAGTTTGGTCCAGTAACTGTCGTATAGCAAATACTATATATACGACCGATACTTGCAGCAAAAAAAAAAATGTTTTCCGAAATTTGAAGCTTAATAAGATACAATAAATTTATATTTTATTAAAAATCTTATCCACTGTTTCCGATTGCCAAATTCTGTTTTGAATCTGCTGTCATTGTTTGCCCCGTCTGTCGTACACGACAGCCAGTATATCTTGATCCACCAAAAACAAGTATTTGCGGCACCCTTATTAAACAACAAAGACTATCCACGATTTGCAGTCATGTCGTTAAGACCCTAAATTTATTATATACAACAAGAAATGTGACCGTGGAGTAGCAGTTTTAATTATATAAGCTCAGTTTGACCAAATTTTCTCGAACTACGCTTATGATTTAACTTTATTCTGTTCTTATTTTTTTTTAATAAGAAATCATATTTTTATATTCTACAGGAAAATAGTTTATGGTATGGTCAAGACGGAAAACCACCATACGTTAGTAAATGAATGTTATGAATAGTCAAAATTATGATAAACATAGCGAAAAACAACTTTGCCGTCTGTCGTCCCAGTTGCATCGGCAATCCCAGTTGCTGGTAATAGGGTGTGATATCCGTAGTAAAATATATACCGAGCGACAAGTATCCTCGGGGACGGACTGCCCACCAGCAAAGATACATGCTCGGTGAATGAAATGAAAAAAATAAAGATAAATAATGTAACGAAACACACTAGTAAATTCAATTATTATTCATAAAATGAAAAGTGGCTCATTATTAAAGCGTGTGAACTACGAGACGGGAACTATAATCAGTTCCACAAATAGCATCAATGTATCACAGTGAAAAATTCACTGTTCAAGAAAGAACTTTATTTTGGACTTTACTTTTCAATTTTTAAGTTGTGTCATATTTTATTTCTCACGATATGTTTCGCGAATCTAATTGTTTAATTGACCAGTGACACTTTTCGGACTCTTGATCTGTTGTTACAAAGAGACAGAGTGCTATGTCTCAAGAACTGTTAATCTCTAAAAACAACACTATTAATTATCTGGGTTTTTTTATGTCCAAACATCACAGCGTCATTGAGTTTATTTAATTAATCCATACCTGTGAATCTTTCACTCATTTTACTAAATGTCAACACCTGTCATTTATTTACTCATTATGTACATTCTTATAAATAGTCATGTATAATTTCAATCATTAGTCTGGAAAATACGAAGGCCAGTCTCGACCACGTCCGACTCGTCAGGACTCTGAGTCCGGGGCCACTTCGGCCAGATCCGACTCGATCATTTATAATATGTCTGTTTGTTGATTCATGTAAACTGTTGCCATCGTTGAGACTCATCTAATAAATACGGAAGCCTTCATCATTTGTTTTATCTCTGGAATTGCATATTGGAGGACCTTCGGGAATACGGCACACCTATACTTTGTTTTTACCTCACGGCCACACAGCGCCTCTACCTATACCTCGTACCCCCCTACGCCAATGTTCCCTCACCCCGTTCGTTCTGCAAACAACGGATGCTGTTCCAGACGAATTCCTAAGTACCGTCCAAATCTACACGGTCACAAGTGTAAGAAAATTGAGCATGCATGTAAATAACCACTGACCTTTTCTTCTTGTAGAAATTTAAGAAAAAAACTGGGTTTCGACGATACCTTCCCAATTCACATGCCTAATGTAGAACTTAAGGTGAGTTGAAAACAATATCTAGAATACTGTAATGATTCGATCATTTTGCAATTGGAATTTATATGAATAGATTAGATTTTAAACTGTTTCTGTCAATTTTTTTTCTTTCTTACTGATGGCTATTTACCTTGATTTTATATTGCATAGTTAAACAAGCATTCTGAGAGTATTGCATAAGCAATACATGTCCCCTACCGGTATCCCCTTTTCTTTTAAGGATGTCATTTTATAAGACCCTGTATTTGATAACTGCGCCGCTCCCTCCCCCCCCCCCCCCCCAATGTGGACATTTAGGATTACTTGTTTATGAATGAAATGTTGGAATGAAATCTGTCTTACAAAGACTAAAATCACATAATGTATGAATAACATGACAATAACTTATGTTACTCGTTTTCCCCAACCTGACATTTACCACCCTGTAAAAAATCTCTGCCTTTAACTTATAAATAAATAGGGATATAAAAACAATTCAAATCGGGTAAAATATTCAGATTTTATTGCATCTGGTATTATTTCGCCAAGTATAATAAGTATTCGCTGGTAGGAATTGCTGAAAACAATGCACAATATTACTTTACCGTCTTCTGTCACAATCGACATCCTCGTTTTTGGAACATTTTAGTGCAGCACGGATCCGATTATAAAAAAGAGGAATGCTTAAAACTGATTTACTCTAGCACCTGTTGGTCAAACGTGACAGAATTCGAACTTGATCTATAGTTTGTCACTATAAAGCTACCTAGCAAGTTTGAAATCAGTAATTTTAAACCTGACAACCTCGTTTTGTAACATTAATATAGTGCAGCACGAAGCCGATCTTGAACTATTATAAAAAAGAGGAATGTTTAAAACTGATTTACTTTGAAACCTTTTGGTTAACGTGACAAAATTCAAACTTGATCCGTAGTTTATCACTATAAAGGTACATAGCAAGTTTTAAATAAATTTTCAAAAGCATAAAGAAAAAAAGTGCGGAAAACCAAGTGGGACAGACTGACAGACAGACAGAGGGACAGACAGACAGACAGACGGACAGACGGACGGACAGACTCAGAGGAAACCTACAGTCCCCTCCGGTTTCACCGGTAGGGGACTAATAATTTCAGGAATAAGCCCAATTATTTGCATCAAAAACTCATCAGAAGATCGACGGGGCAGTACATTTTATCTTTTTAGTTCCCTACCGGTGTAACCGGAGAGGACTATAGGTTTCCTCTGAGTCTTTCCGTCCGTCTGTCTGTCTCTCCGTCTGTCTGTCTGTCTGTCCCTCTGTCTGTCTGTCCCACTTGGTTTTCCGCACTTTTTTCCTAAACGCTTGCAGATATTGAGCCGATTTTTGGTATGTGAGTGTATCTTGATGAGTTACAGATAAAGTTTGCTTTTCGTTCCGCTTCAATGATTTTTGACGGAATTACGACCTTTTAAATTTTTCAGGTTTTTCCGCAATTTTTTTCTAAACGCTTGCAGATATTAGGCTGATTTTTGGTATGTGACTCAACCTTGTTGAGTTATAGATCGAGAATGCTTTTCGTTTCGCTTCATTGATTTTTGACGGAATTATGGCATTTTCAATTTTAACGGGAACCAGATTACACTTGCCGGTAGGGGACTAGTATTGCTAATGCAATACTCTCAGAATGCTTTTTCATTTAAACAAAACACTTTATTTTGCATTTTTCCTCTTTCACTACGACAGACTGGGGAAACAAACCTCAACGCGCCAGCCAATGGTTTGAAGTCTCCATTCACTATGTCTGTGAGTAATTACATATACCAGTACTAGCCCTGTATAAAAAGTAATTAAAATCCAGCTCATATTCCATTTTATTGTCGCTGCTTAAAATGTAAGGCTAAACCATAAATCTGTTGAACTGGAAAGGACTTACAAGTGGCAAATATAGATAGGAATTGAGAAAAATTCAAATTTTGATCAAAATAAAAACCAATGTTAAGCCAACATAAGTGAAAGTAAAGACACATTCGCCTTCAACGTCATATAAGTGTTTCAAATTTATCTGACTCTTGTAAGCTTTTAATATTTTTATTCCCTTTGATTTGTTTGACATTAACGATATATACATATATATTTGTTTTTTAGAGCGAATCAAAAGAAGGGTGTGGATTTTCACAATCAGCAGAGAGAGCGAGTGTCCTTTGTAGCTCTAATGATACGTTAATCAAAATTCTTAATGGAAATCCAAAAAATAAATCCCTTCATACGAATGACACTCCTTTAGGTCTGACTGATGTCCCCAGTGAGATAGGCAGATCTAAAGGAGGTGATAACGAAAGGACGCTTCCTACGGTAGCCAATAGTAAACCCACATCGCCGATAATAAACCCCAAGGAAAAACAAATCCAAAAGGAAGAAGAGTCAAAAGAAATCCTGCCTCCTGATTATTCAAAAGCAACTACAATTGCACTTACTTGTCTCCATGGTAATAACCTAGACTGAGGAAAATAAAGCCATAGTTTCTTTAAAGAATTCCTTTTCATATTGTATGTTTATAACTGAAAAAACAAAAGTTATGATTTCAAACAATTTAAAGAAAGAGGTAATGGACATATTTTACTAGTTTAGAAAAAGGTGTACAAATTAATACATTGTATCTGAATTTCGTAACTAATATTTATTGACATGAAATAAAATTTGATTTGAATTTCAACAGAGATAGAAAGATCGCCAAATAAGGAAGAAAATGGTACAAATGTTTCGCCATTAAACTCTTACGATAATACACTGGAAACAACTTTCACAGTAGATGACAATATAAAAGAAAATGAAATCAGTACTAATATATGGAAGGAAGGTATGTTTGATTATATATATAGAATCATTGTGATCTAAATATTAAACACAAAGATGTGAGGATTATGGTAGGTAATATAATATGTAATGAACTAACTGTACATTATCGTTTCTCTTTTTAGATTATACAGAAGAAATATCAACATCTCCACAATATATCACAAATGACCCTTCTTTCAATAACGATGAAAGCTATGTAACTAATGATTTAAGACATTGGTACAACGACAGAAAACTTTCTGACAGCAATGCTAGTAATGAGATTGAGCGATGTCAAAAAGTCCTCTTGTCTGTCCCTGCGGTGAAGCAGTTAGTGGATCCTGTAGAATGTAAAGAAATGCCTGAAAACCTTCTGAACAGTATTAAAACTACTATTCTAGACAATGCTTATAAAAATGAAAATACTGCATCATCTCTGGACACAAAAACACCTACCATGAACCAAGAGGACAACTTTGGAAGTAAAATGTGGTCAAAGGATTATGTTCATACTGATGCTACAAAAACACTAGATCACTGTTTAACAACGAATACTGCTATTGATTCTGTTGGTGCGGAAATGTGGGATGATTATGTTCCTAATGACACCCAGCCAGTTTCAGAATCCGATACAAGAGACACTTTCTATGTAAAACAAATACCTGTCTACCTCCCAAACGATCCAACAAACAAGAACAACAATGAGGAAAACGGAGACCATGTTGGATAATTATATTCTTTATTCTGGAGCAATGGACGAGAATCTCTAGTCAGAATTTTTAAATGCCTGCTTATTTTCCTTACATCTTTTTGTTTTCATTTTGCTATTTGCTAGTCAAAACAAGGTTTCTACACTTCAGAGATTATACAGCATCCTGGCAAGCTTGAACAAAATGCAATAATAGTTGGTGAAGATACATCCATGTTTTATTTTAAGTACAGATATCTCTAAATCATTTATTGGAATTCTTTTACGTAAGCGACATTCTATGGACAGTTTCATGATTGACATGTGTGTGTGAGAGAGAGTGTGTGTGTGAGGGTGTTTGTGTGTGTGCAGTAATTACTTAAATACTTTTATAAGTAAGCATTCTTTTTATGAAGAAAAAAGTGTGACATTCTTGTATATGAACTTAATGATCTTTGATTTCTTTCATTATCCTGTTTCAAAAGATTGTTTAAGGTTGCATTTTAATTTGCATCATATCACTCATTCATATTGAAAATGTTTTAAATTTTTAAAACATCGGGTGCATTTTGGCAAAGAAAAATATATTATAATTTTTACCTTTGTCTATATATGAATGCATTATTATTATATTTTTTTTTTATTCCTTTATGAAATAAATATCAAAATAAACTTGCAAGCTCTTATTTATTGTCAATTTTACTAAAGATTCTTAAAAGTTTAACATATTTTGTTATCATTATCGTCCATCGGTCTATTCTTTCACAATTTTTTCCCCTTAATTCCTTTCAAATCTAAAGAGAAAGTCATATATATTATAATATATATGATTGCCCTGTCATGAAGAAGTGCGAGATATGGGTAGCTCTGTTCCCAGGGTCACAAAAAGCTTAGAAGGGTATGTCTTAAAAAGATGTAAGATAATCCTTATACATATAAGTACATTTTAAGATGTGACTTAAATCTTCTTTTACTCGATTTCATGTCATGTTAATGTATAAAAACGTTTAGAAATAAACATACCAAAAATTTCAGTTTAAACCGCTGTGAGTCACTGTTTATGAATTTCGAAACATTAAGGTTAAACCACTATAGCTATTTTGATAAGTGTCGAAGAGTAATTTAATGATACAATTCCTATAAAACTAAGGCGTATGAAAACAAAAGATTAATTCTTTTAAACATGGACTGATAAGTGTTTTATTTGTTTCGATTGCGCCATCTTTCGATGAATAAAACGTTGTGGTAATCTGAAAAAATTCTGAATTTCCATTTAGAAACAGCCCACACATTTCAAACATCCGGAATTTAAATAAAGCTTTAAATCTTTTCCACCAGGAATTATAATAGATTCAGTTTAAAATAACAAAGAATTATTTTCTCTTATTGTTGACGTACATGACATATATGACATGATCTAGCACACTCCTCATACCTTTAACCCCTGAGTTCTTTTGTTTATTCCGCCTACCACCGGATGCATTTAGCAGGTGAAGCTTTTGTACTTTGTTTGAAAACACAAAACAATCAACATATATTCCATCTGTGCCTTTTTTTGTACCCGTGCATACACATTAATCGTTCTCTAGATCTATGAGATTTACAGACTGTAAATTAAAGGTACCCATAAGTAACTGAGCAGTCAGCTTAATTACTCATTCTTTCATACAAAATAAGTGTTCCTAAGGTTACATGATTTTTGAAAATATTTTCCTTCATTTAACATTAAGAATTTTATTTATGAATGATAAAGATATTTCGTAAATTGTAAATAATGGCGTTTTATCTCCAAATATCTAAATTCGGTTATAAAGTTCACTTCCTCATGTGCAGCTAGCTTAATATAGTTAAACAGTGCATTGCTTAAATTTACATTCAACAACTACAGGTATCTGAGAGTGGAAAAAGTTAGAAAGAGTTGTTTGTAATTTTCTTGTTAATTTATGAAACTGAGTGTCATATCTCATTAAATTTTAAACGCTTTGAATTTCTATTTGCGGGTCACTTCAGAACCTTTTATACATAGAAATATTTTTATTGTTTTATACTCTTTCAGACGATTGTTCCTTGAAAGGAGATGGATAGACTAATTCTAATTCTGTCATATCAAATAAAATATTACTGTTTTCAGCCACAGTACTTCTTGTAGCTTCACCCCAAGTCTTTCTTTTGCCAGTACTCAATCTGATATGACTTCGTCACTTTTTGTATTGATTTCTTGAAATCTAACCACAAATGAATGGAGAGATTAAAGAAGGTGAACACGGCATGAAAAACGACTTACAGAAGCAATTCTTTATTCATCATTTCGACACTTTGATAAATGATTAACTGTCCAGCTATTTCTTTTAATGTATGTTTGTGTAAAGTAAAATTCATTCATATTTAATATATTATTTTGCGTGATGCAAAGTAGTATCAACCTAAGCTCAATTTATATGTGAATGAAAAAGGTGAATATAACGAACAGTAATCGATCACAAAAAGTCAACAAACAATACAAATCTGTAAACAGGACATACAACACGGACCCGAGGTGGAATCAGGTGCATAGGAGGAGTAAATATCCCCTGTTGTTGCAATCCTAGTAACATCAACTTATCTGTCAGTGCCTGCCTTGGTTTAAAAACTGATCGTCGAAAATCACAGTCTCTGAACTTTCTCGGAGTCATTAAAATAATTGCAAAATTTAGTATTTTGTCGTCGATCTAGAAATGAAATATGAAAATAACAAACAGTAATCAAGTTTAAAAATTCATCAAAACAAGAAAAATTGTAAGTAGAACAAACACAGACCTCTTAAAACAACAGAGATGGGATGAGGTGCCATGGAGGAATAGGCATCTCTTGTCGATCGGTCATATCTATGTGTTACCCCAAATTCCAAATCATTGTGAAGTAAAATGTAAAAGAAAATTAAAAATCAATTGGGCCAACATACCTAATCAATATATAGGGTTAACGGCGAGTGTGATCGGTCGATCGACAGGGCAATGCTTACTCTTCCTAGGCACATTTAATTGTTTTATTTACTGGATTTATGAGATAGTTTGGTGTTCGTTATCTCCACATTTTACACATTGAAAAACATGTTTGGTGTATCGTATAACATAATTACTGCAGTCAAGACGATGATTTACCCACTTGAGAAATAAGATGTACTTGAAGGGTGGCTAAATCATTGTATGGACTAAAAAAACAATAATTGTTTTATTATAAATGATACAAACTCGTTTACTAAACCATATCTTTCTATTGTTTATATTTGTTGAAGTCTAACTTTCGTCTTTTACAAGAAACATTGAACAATTATTTATAAGTTAAGTGACTTCAAAAAGATAAATTTACAACTTTACAAGTGTCATGTCAAGACTAAGCTGTCTCCGATTGATTTTTTAAATTTCAAGTAAAACTATATATTTTCGTGTAAGGATTCTTTTACTTTATCAATATCAATATGATAATCTATTTTAAATGTTATAAATTATACCGACAGGTTTCTGATGCATGAGCTGTTTATTTTATATTCATAATTCATATAGACTGATGAGAAAGCCAATTAAGTGTCAGTGCCATATGCGACATATTTCAATAATTGAACGCACACCTGATATCATCATACCCTTCTACATACGAACTCAGGTTGTATGCAGTCAAGGACAGTGAGTGCAACTTGCTTTTTCTAAGCAACCAGGAGTATATAAGGTATTGGTTAGGCATTGAGAAGTTTAAAGAAAACAAACACTTCTTTTTTCTCACATCTGGGGTTTTTATCGATCACAGAGTGGATACGAAAAATACTATTAGAGGAGGGTTTTTTTTTCCTTATTATTTATGTTTTAATTATATATAACAAAAAGGCCACACCCTGCGGTCTTAACCTAGAAAACGGGGTCAGAAATTTAATAATTTTGACAGAAGTTATAATGTCTGATTCAAAGATGTCCAGGAGTAAATAAATAAATAGTAGTCATAATTGCATTGATTTTGAAAGTTTCCCTTCAAACTTTTATGCCTTTTCTACAAGTAGTTGACAATGATTACACCTTTCAGAGAAAAAAATGTTTACTCACTCGCGGCATGGCAACATGGGAACATATATCACTTAATATAGGACATTAAAGTCAGTTAATTGACTAGAAATCTTTGATTTTTAACAACACAAATTTTAAAAAATAAAATAGAGTATCTAGAAATTCCTTAATTTTTGGGACTTTATTCTCCTTCAAACATTTGGTGGATTGCTTTTATGAGACCTGATATGGAATTAAGCAACAGTTTAGCATAAATATCTTTTTGGAGCGAAATGAACAATGAATTTTGACAACATAATTGACATCAGAAAATTAATTACTGACTAAAAACACCGTTTTCATTTTGTTTACAATACGCACTAGTCGCCCGCGAGGCGCAGTGGTTAGAGCGTCTGCTCTAGAGTCGCAGAGTAAGGAGCTGATCCTTACGTCGCAGGTTCGAATCCACTGCGGGACGTGGAGACCTGTCCTTCGGATGAGACCGTGTACGAGGTCCCTTGTCGCAGTAGGTGTTGGCACAATAAACATCCTTCATTGCCCAATGGCCTCGAGTGCCTAGTATAGGTATAAATTTGCAGTCCTCCACCGGCAAGTGTTGGTTGAAAAAGTTTCGAGAGGGACGTTAAAAACAAACAAACAATATGTACCAAAAGAATTCTCTTTATGAATTTAGAATACAGAACATTTCTCAAAGCTTTCTTTTCCTTTCAGAATTTGACATCGTATGGGAAAATGCTATCAAAGAACACGGAATCATTTCTTCTCAGATTATGCAATTGTCTGAACAATCAGAAAATTTGTAGTTTACAGTCCCTGGGGATTTTTTTGCTTACAAAACATTTTTGTGGACGTCCATTTAATTTCAGAGCAAAATAAAGATTTTGGCAAAGTATATTTATCACGTTGTTTGACAATCCCTTGACTAGACCATAACTTACCCTTTCTTCTCGGTGGATGGCACTATAAAAAATTGTCATTCCTAAGATGTGGGGGGAAGGTATATTCGACTATTTAATTATTTTAAATGTAAAATAAATATTACATGCAAAGATGTTTTTGATGAGTGTATTACTTAGGCACATGTAATGCAATATTTAATAAACTAACTGTACATTATCGTTTCTATTTTAAGATTATGCAATAAAAATCAACATCTCCACAATATGCCACAAAAGATCTAATTTTCAATAGCGATGAAAGCTATATAACTAATGATTCAAGACATTGGTACCATGAAAACTCTGCGTCAACAAAACTAGTAACGAGATTGAGCAATGTAAAAATGTCATCCCCTCTGCCTCTACTGTGAAACAGTCTGTGGATTCTGCATAGAGTGAAGAAATGTTTGGAAACATTCTGGTCAGTACTGAAAACACAATTCTATTAATACAAATGCTGCATCATCTTTGGAGACAATAACACCTACCAAATCAAAAGGATTACATGTACGTTGGAAGTAATTTTTGCCCTCAGAATAATGTTCATATTGATGCTATAATCACGTCGGATCTCCGTTTTACGTCATATACTTAGGTGACTCTTATGACGATAAGAACAAGTAAA